GGTCTGGGGACAGTCCTGACCCTAAACCCTGAGAACAGCTACATCTATTCCCTGCTACTCAGCTACATATTTGAAGCCAAGATTTCCTGTCTGAACAACATTTCTCCTTCATTTGCCACAACCTTTCTGTTTTGATAGCTGATTAATTCACAGTGCTCTTCAGTGTCATGGTCAAACCAGCATAAGTGTGTTGATTTGTGCAAACATATTCTAGCAAAAGGATGTAAAGATTCAACAAGTGACACAGAGAAGGGAGCTGCAATAGGAAGTGCTTAGGTTTCATATTAAGTACTCAAACAGTCAAGCATTGCCAGGCAGGCTTTCCTAAAGAAATGTAAATTGCTTTGGTGGAATTTCAAGAAATTTCTTTAAAATAAAGTTTGCTAATACAAGACTTCATACAGAAATTAATTTCACTCATTCTTGTAAGGTAAGGAACTGGTAATTTGTTACAGGAAGTTTGCTATAATAACAAAGTATTACAAAAGAAGAGAGATGGCTGCCATTCTACCACTCTCTATACTCCCAACAAAGGCAGGCCTCCCTGCTGGAGGAGGCAATAAGACACGGTGAGTTTCTCAGCAGTTAAGCAGAACCACCTCCCTCCAACCCCCACTCCCACAAAGGTAAGTAAAAGGGGTACCTGAAGAGCAGGGTAGAAGAAGATCCATAATAACTGAATCTGCTCCTTTAGTGTAAACATTTATTTCATCTGTGAGAGGATGTCTGACCACTACTGACATCCGCTTCCTGACGGAATCAAAGCCCAATGTATGTAACACTTCAAAGCTTAACGTTCCCAGGTGAGGTAGCTCCACGGATACCTGGTCAGACAGCCTTCCAACCAGAGAACAGTTATAAGCCCTTGCTGCATAGACAAGAGCAGCTTCATCTGGACTCTCTGCTTCATAACGGAGTTCTCCTTCCTGGGGTGCGCCCCCCAGCGCTGCCCGGCCTTGCTGGGAGCTGTAGCCATTGTTATTCATCTGCGCAGAGTACGCCAGCTTCTCTTCCAGTTTGAGTAAAGTGCTGTCTGTAGATGTAGATGAAAGCACACTTAAACCAAACCTGTGCAGTGATTTGCTTGTAGCTAGGCTAGAGGAACTGCTGCTGTTGGATCCAGAGGTCAAGCGACTTGGCGTGAATCTTCGGATGAAGTCTTCTATGGTTTTTACTGGAGACTTCAGTTCAAATCGGTCTCTAACCTTGAAAAGTAAAAAACAAACCAATGAACAAAACCCAAAGAAAAGCTGTACAAGAATTCTGACATGAATATCCAGTCTAAGCAGCTCCAACTTGAAAGGAGAATTTATCTCAGCAAAAGGTAATGGTATTTCTGTTTTGAGAAAGGAAAGTAAATGGATAAAACTAACTCAACGCAAAAACCCCCAAACTTAGTAGAACTTCAGAATTGTACCTGTGTGTGAAAGCGTGTTTGTATTAAAAACATTTTTCCTTCTTTCCTCCTCAGATATGACTAATGGATAGACCATCATCAGTAGTGCATACTAGAAGCTACTGTTAGTAGGAAACATTGGCATTCTTTGTGCATGTTCAGTGAAGGTAGCAAAGAAAAAGTTAATGCAAGTTTTCTATCTAGAGTGTGGTATCAGAAAATGTTTATGAGAATATGCCAATGTCAACAACATTCTCAATAGGAATGAGTTAGAATAAATAATTTCCACTGTCTTTCTGCATCCAAGCATTTTGCTTCAATTTTATCACTCATCTCATTTTATATAAATTATTTTTACAGATACAAAGTTGTTAATAGTAATGGCATATTCATAGCAACATATATTAAATTGTTGTATAATAGTGTG